TTCGGCAAATCAACTTTCCATTCTGGCAAATTGATATTTCATTCAGTGAATCCATCGTTTCATTTGGCAAATACTTCATTCCGTTCAGCAAATTCATCGTTCCTTTTGAAAAATTGAATGTTCCATTCCGCAATTTCATTGTTTCATTTGACAAATTCATCAATTCATTTGACAAATTTATCAATTCATTTGGCAAATTCATCAATTCATTCGGCAAATTTCATATTCCCATTCGGCATTATGCATCTTTCCACTTGGCAAATTCATTGTTACATTTGGCAAATTCATCGTCACATTTGGCAAATTCATCGTTACATTCGGCCAATTCATCATTCCATTTGGCATATTCATCTGCCTATTTGGCAAAACTGCGTTTAGCACACATGTAAATTGATGAATTCGCTGTATGATGATTTTCGTTGGCATGGGATAATGAATTTGCTAACTAGAATGATGAATTTGCCAAACACAAGGTGATTCACAAAGCAAGTGGTATGACTGAAGGCAGCTTTGGCGTTCCATAGAGATGTGGGGGTGGGGGGGGGGGGAGGGCTAGAGAAGATGGAGTGGCCTAAACCTACAGACAGACAAACATGCCAACGCCAGCAGGCCACAAGCCAGACTGCCCTGGATAATATTGATGCTGATCCAGTTTTCTGCGGTGCGGTGGTAAGCCGTTCAATTTTTTTCATCAAGAGCTTGAGGCTAACATGCTAATACAAACATGTATGTTGTCTTCTTGTACTCATTTATAATTCAATGAATTCAGACGCACAGATTTTTCCCAAGTAATTTTGCACAAATACATGTACATTATTAACCAGTACTACATGTATGTATGATAAAACTTTTACCTCTAGGACTCACATACACTTAAAAAAAAAATGTGTACATGTACATGATATTTATTTCTCAATTATTTTTTTCCTTTTTCCCTCTACATCATACCTACAGCAGAATATCTGAAAAAACGAACCTGAAATTTTACGATTGAATTTCTCAGAATTTAAACATTTATTTCTCTTGAACTGCAAGATTTCTACAATAGAATGTAACTGACTTTCTGAAAACTTCTGGACGTGTCCACATAAGAAATATTGATTGACAAATTATATAAAGTTATAATACAGTTTCAAAAATATAAATTCCGTTATAAAACTGCAGACAATTAAAATGTTGAAGATTTAAACAGTTGCGGGGATTTCAAAACACTTGAAATCCGTTCAGGGGATTATACAAGAGAGTCTGCATGAAATGTTCTTAACAACTTTGGTTAAAAAAGAACTTTTTGTTAACACATGTACATTTAAAGTTGACATCACTCTACACGTATGACCACAGCACACAAATATGCACGTAGTGATGATAGCTATCACTGTTTAAATGTTTTTAGGTTTTAAAGTGTGTCCGTATATGGTATTTCATTAGGGATTAAAAGACTTACAATAACGTACATGTAGGACCATTTGCTGTTGGTGCAATTTTTTTTTTCATTTGAGGCAAAGAAATTGCTCAAAATCTTTAGTACGGTGCATTAACCCTAACAGAACTCAACCCATCAAACCCGAACGGTATGTTTTGTTGGAATCTGTCAGGATGGGTACAGGACCCCTAAACTGACAGTCTTGTACATTGGGTTGACACACATCCAGAATTAAAGTCAGAAATATGTGTGTGCAGTTTCCCATATGGTGTTGGAAGTTGCCAGTATGGGTATGGTTCCTAGTAAATCATGCTAGGGAGTTAGGGTTAAAACTAACTTGTTTAAGGTTTCAGCTCAGATAATACTACACAGTTTGAGAAAACAGACAAAACGTACGCACAACTTTTTGGGTCTCATAATCAACTGGATTCCATTGCTAACATACATGTATAGACACAAAAATTGTGTGCCAATGGGCACCCTATTGTGAAACCACTTTCAATGATTGCTTTCTTCCACACGATATCATTTCAGGTCGAACAAATTTATAGGGTATTTGATACCATCCTACATGTATCTTCACTTCGAGCAACGTTTCTGTCATTAAATCAGAAGGTACTTCTCCAGGTAACTGTAAATGATCCTACGTGGTTTTAAATGGGTAAAAAGACCTCAGCATGTGTATTAAACTGAAAAAAAAAAGTTTATAGGATATTTTACAGACAGTGTAGGAATCTTTCCACAATGCAACCAAAACTGATTTTGTTGCCAACTATGAACACAATTCAAAGAGGATTTCACTTAGCGTAATACAAATAACACACCAAATGGATTAATCCTCAGTTGCAACTTAATGCGGATTGCGCCCAAGACTGGAATTCATGATGAATTTACTGACGTCACCAGACAGAAAAGAAGGGCTACGGAAATCACCACCGCGGGCACAACGGACATGGAATCCTTCTTACGACCAACATGTTTGAATTATTCAGGGTACCGAGAACACAATGTATTATTCACCCTACATGTTGGATGAATATACATCGTTGACCAACTTCAAAGCAGGCGATTGGAAAATTTGACATGGGCAATTTCGGAGTTCGGGTTTTCCCAATGAAGAACATAAAAATTTACATTTCATGATACAAAATTCTATCAAAATAGGAACGTACATTGTAAACATTAAAGTCTGCCCAAAACAAATTCACGTTTTAAATCCTAAGAAACAGATTAGGGGCACTACTTATTTTACTGTGTTTTTATTGTCTTCGTCTTGTGATGTGTTATGTAAGTTTTATCTGGAATATTTTAATATTTATATCATATTCGTTGTTATGTTGTAGTATTTATTACTATACCTCATAAATATTCATCAGGCAAACGCGGCATTCCATTGGTCCATTCCAGCAACTCAACCGTGTGAAAGTTTTTACTATTTCCCAGCATCTTCGTACGCGCGCATGACGCGCAAAAACCAGGGAAGTACTATCACACACCTGAGTCGCAGCCTTAGATTTGTTCCAGTACTCTGTTATCTCTTTACCAACGATGTATGCGGTTTACATGCGTACCGTGGAGATTGCCATTGAGGACAGTTGTGCCAATCTATTACGGCATACATCAAGATGGCGACCGGTGGTGCTCGCTTTTTGCTATTGTAACCAAGGAGGAAATGGGTGAAATTTTACACAATAATACTAAATCCAGTGTTTTGTGTTCATGTTAAAGTTATTAAATGACACAAAATTAACTTTCTATTCTGTCAAAAACGATCAAAAACATGGTGGAATGGACCAATGAATTACCGCAGCTGCCTGATGAAGATTTTTGAGGAATAGTAAAACAAATACAATATGTTTTTGCGGGGAAATAGTGAAAACAAATGATCCCTCGGTGTTGGATGATTGAGCCAATCATCCAACACCTCGGGGTCATTAGTTTTCACTATTTCCCCGCAAAAACATATTGTATTTGTATATTGTAATTATAGCGTTTTTTTATATTGTAAATCATGTTCAATTCAGCCTTGGCTGTGACTTGCGATACTTTTATAATAAACCAATTTGAATGAATGAATGAATGAATCAGTGAAATGACTTTCAGCAATGATTATGTTGGATGCAAGACAACTGATTAATTCAAAGCATAGCCTTATCAACCAGACACTAAAATCAAGTAAGATAATCTCTAGAAAAAAAATTATCACAATTTAAAATGAAAAAATTTGATAGTTTCATTACAAATTCACCAAGTGAATTTTTGCCTAAAATCTGCACAGATAAGGATTCTTGCAACTGTGCCGACAAGTTACCAGGATTTTTGTTGTCATTTTATGGGATCTCAGCAGAAGGCAAGAATTACACCAAAATTACATGTATGTATGAACTCATAACCACAGTACCTTTCCACTGTGCATCAAAGATGCACCAAGTTTCTCTTACATTCGCAATGAAGAACGAAGCAAACTTGAGAAAAAGTACGATCATGGACCAGTTATCCACTCATGGTTGGTATGTGACGTATGTTGAGCACCTGCATGCTGAACTTGTAGTGCAAACATTTGGAACTAGCATGACTGTTAAAACTCAAAACCTCTCGCTCCTGGCTTCCAGTATTGTATTATTGTGTACTCGGTACTCGTACTCAAGTACTACTCGAGTACGTTTTTTCGAGTATTCGTACTCGAGTGTCAAAGTACTCGTACTCGAAATGACGGTACTCGTACTCGGGCAGCAAAGTACTCATACTCGAATAGCATTACTCTAAAAAAAAAATGGTATAGCTTGACTTAATACCACAGCCTGATTTTATCGATACTTTCAGTTTAAAGTTGTTGATTGGCTTGGGGAGAAATCAAAGTTTCCTGATTTTCCTCTGTGCACGTCCGGACAAACACATGTAACAGCTAGCCGTGAGTGGGTCTGTATATTGGTCTGACTGGGTCTGGGCAAGTTATGAACTATTTGCTGTATGGCCGTATTCAGAAATAGAAGTACTTGTACTCATACTCGCACTCGGGATACAAGTACTCGTACTCGAAAGTACAAGTACTCGTTCTCGGAGACCTGTACTTGTACTTTGAAGTAAAAATACTCGTACTCGTAAACCTTAATACTCATCAGTACTTGGTACTCGGGAAAAAAATACTCAACTGCAAGACTGCTGGCTTCTTAATTGTGATTCGCGTGGCTATTGATAACAAGCGTTGAAACCAACCCAGGTCGACTGGTCCCAAACTGTTAACTAGGTTCTTACCATTGTCAATTAGTGTGAATTCAATCAGACAGAGCTAATACGTCAGCTGTAAATAGGTCATTCTTTAAATTTAGTGTCTTAAGTGTAACATTTCTTTTCCTGTCCCCATTACCTTGGTACTTTGTAATTTGCCATTCAAGACATTAAGAATGAATTCAGACAATCTTCTATTTGTTGGGTAAGTAGCTTGCTATTGGAGGACGACTACATTAAGGATGCATCAGAATCATAAAATCGTAGATGTCAGATGTAACAAGGACAGGAAAAAAGAATGACCCCAAATTTAAAGAATGACCCACATGTAAATAACAACTGAACTTACCCATGCAATCCGTGGCCATGTGCTACCTCTTCTGTGCAGCTTCCAAGATAGCAGCTCTCTCCGGTGGGATGGAAGGATAAAGACTGAATCCGTGGGGTGATGAGACATCAGGACCTTGGTAGCATGTAAGGTGGTTCAGTATCAACTGATGTAGAAAAACGTTACGACAGAAAATAATTAGAAATAAATTAAATCTTGTAAGACATTTTCACAAAATAACAGAAACATTTTGAAATGTAGATGTAGGTTTTGGCCCCCTTAAGAACAATGAGTCTGAAAATACCAATTCCATTACAATTCAGCTGAACAAATAGTCAACAGGCAATGTGGCATAGTGAATACAGGGGCGGATCTAGAATACAGGGGCGGATCTAGCTTTCAGGGAAAGCATGGAGATGGAGGCGTACCTCTGCTATAAGGGGTCCAGGGATATCTGCCCCCTCCCCCATTCTAAGGCAATTTTAGAATAAATTTAGGAAGTTTGAGTCAATATTTTATTTCTATTTTGGGGGCCCCATTTTACTAGTATCGTAAATTTTTCAGCGGCTGAAAGGGGGGGGGGGAGGGGAAAATAGTTGAAATCATCTCCTCATACTAAATTGAAGAGAAGTAATTACAGCAAAATACCTTGCTAAGGGACACAAGGACATCACTTTCAAGTATTTCAGATACATTGATTTGATAAGTTTCAGGACTTTTTAATGTTAGGCACATCCAAATTACTTGGCTACACAGTGTGTCCTGAAATCTGGAGCACTGTGCCAACTGCCTTCTCTGCACAGAGTTCATAATGTCCAAAGTCTTACTCCCAGTTTCCCTACCTGGTCCTTGACAGCCAGCACCTGCCTGAGCAGCTTGAGTCTGGCACGAACCGCTTCACTCTGGTCTGAACTGGTTCCACTGAAGAGAAATCCAGTCAGGTGATGGAGTGCCATGAGATACATGATTGGGGACCATGGCTGCCTGACCACGCCGTTGATGAGCGAGCTCATGTAGATCGTCAAGAGCTCTAGGTTGGTTTCCCGGGGATACAGGTAGTTCTCAATCGGCAAGATCAGCTGTTAAAAAATGTTTGAATGCAAATACCGTTGACAATACATCTACAATAATATACACTACATAATAAAGCGTTATTGTTTAGGTCTCAGATCCTGGACAACAGTGGATGAACAAAGACAAAGGAATATCTTTGCCACAGTTCATTTAAAACAGCTTGTCACTTGACTTTTGCCTGGATGACTTTTGATTGACCTATAAAGACAACTCAGCAGTTCAAAATGAGTTGTGGATACCCCTGCACCATATGAGCAAGCAAACCAGTGCATCAAAGCAATGTGTGCTCCAATGGCTCTCGTGAGTAATCTGCACAGCAAACTCAACAGGTACAGAGTCGATGGACTCTGTGCACATGTACACCTCAACGGTTTCCAAGAGACAATTTGGAAGGACCGCTATAAGGGACTCCTGCACGCATTTCTGTTAGCGCCTAAAGCTCATAATAATAATAATAGCAGGTTCTTATAAAGCGCACATATCCTAACAAAGCTACATACATGTAGATCAAGGCGCTTGACAAAAATATTACATAAAATTAATGAATTAATGAGCTCTGAATAGTTCTGTCTTCAAAAGTTTCTGAAATGTAGTCACTGAGTCAGAATGGTGGATTTCTTGAGGGAGCTTGTTCCACAGATGGGGGCCAGAATAACCAAAGGCACCCTGGCCGATCGATTTGTTACATATGGGGGTGGTAAGTGTTGTTGAGTCTTGTAGTTTACGGAGTCGGCTGTCGCGGTGATAGAAGGTGAGGAGATTGTTTAGGTAGACGTGTGCTGAGAGGCTATAAATGTATTTGTGCACATTCAGAATAAATTTAGTTCTGCATATTTCGCGCAATACATGCACGAACCAGTGAGTGTATGCAGTGTGTCTCTCCCACCAGAGCTTTCCTGAGTGGTCATGAAGTGCTGTGCACTTTTCAAGTGTGAAGTCATTTCAACCTAAACCATGCCCACTACAGACGGAGTAGCATTGAAAAATCATTGGAACCATTGGAACCGAAGTTGTGCAAAGTGGCAAGTTTAGCCAATGGGCCCAAGTAATCAGTGGTGCGTGCGGGTATGTATGACGCATTCACTTACGGACCGGATAACACACCCCATGGACAATCCATCCAGATTACCTGCGAGACGGGAAGGTTGAGAGCCCTGAGCGCGTCAGCGTGTTCACACCACAGAGCTTTGCGTATCCCTACGCTGAATCTCTGCTGCATCGGCAAGAGCACAAAGTGAGCGAACAGGGGATCACCGAAGGAGACTGCCTCATACTGGGTCAATAGTTCCATGAAACTAGACACAGAGAATAAGAATGAAAAACACAAGAAATGTGGATAAAGTTGCCTGGTCGGTCAAACAAATCTTTAAAGGTGGTGTGGACACAGACAAAGTTTTTGTCTTGACTTAACTTTCTAAACCAGTTTTGAATAAACTGGAGCCATGTCTACACTGGAGCCATGTCTACACTGGAGCCATGTCTACACCTGAGCCATGTCTACACCTGAGCCATGTCTACACTGGAACCATGTCTACACTGGAGCCATGTCTACACTGGAGCCATGTCTACACCTGAGCCATGTCTACACTGGAACCATGTCTACACTGGAGCCATGTCTACACTGGAGCCATGTCTACACCTGAGCCATGTCTACACTGGAGCCATGTCTACACCTGAGCCATGTCTACACTGGAGCCATGTCTACACTGGAGCCATGTCTACACCTGAGCCATGTCTACACTGGAGCCATGTCTACACCTGAGCCATGTCTACACTGGAGCCATGTCTACACTGGAGCCATGTCTACACCTGAGCCATTTCTACACCTGAGCCATGTCTACACCTGAGCCATGTCTACACTGGAGCCATGTCTGCATTGGACTTTCTGGGGGTAAAACTCACTGAGATGATAGTTACTTTGACCATTTTAAGTTCAATGCAAACAGACTGAATAAGACTTAATGGTTTGCATGGTGGACATGATTAATGAATGGGAGGTTTGCGGTAACACCATGTGAATGAATGATATCTCTTAGTGAGTTGTGTGGTTCTGAGAAGAACCAGTTGGTTTAACTCTCTCAAACAGCCTGGTAAAATTGTCCAGTCGAACATCCAAGTGCGGATCTTTGTAAGGTTTTACTCATTCAGATTTTACCATCGTCTTTTAGTAAAATCCCACACAAAAAATTAGTCCAATGCCAACACTGTTTAAACACTGGACATAAATGTTGTCTCTAATGAGTAATCTCTCTAACAATAAAAATGTTTTGTTTGTTGCTTTGCAATTTTTCCAGTGATTACATCTACTGTAGTTTTCGGAACATAAACCGCGGCTTATACGTTGATTTTGCCCATGAAAATGTTTACTGCGGCTTATACACAGGGCGGCTTGATATTCAAATGTATATTTAATGTACTGGTATAAGAAAAGATCTGTTGCTGAAATGAATCATCAATTAAGAAAGTCATTAACAAACCGAAAGCACGTCCCACGTAAAAGTACCGAGCAGCAAAATGTACGGCTAGTGAAAGCTGTCTCTGCATAGTGCTGCATGCATATATACGCTGCATGCATTCCCCATGGACCACACCTTTTGTGGTAATAAATGGGTGTACTTTCTTGGGAACAATAACTACCAATATTTCCGCTGTTTAAAAAAGAAAAAAGACAACTAATACTTTTAGTTGGAAACATTTCTTTATTCGATAACCAGTTGTTCAACGTCACAATATATTTTTTTTTTCTTGAAATGTATTCAAGAAATGATGTAAAACTCAAAACAGGGGCTAAATCACCCCTTACGAAATAAATGGATTCGTCCATAAAAATTTCAGCATCGTGTCGACTGTTTTCAAAGAAAGTTACGACCGAAACTTGAATTTTTGACGAAACTACTCGTTATTAATCACAACAAGTTGATACGTTTTGTTGTAAAAACGGACCTGTTTATTCCTAGGAACAAACAAATCAGCATCTGTTGCCACAAAGCAGGATTTGTAGCGCTCCAGTCAGACGACACACGGTGGGTTGCATACTCTCTCAAGTGCTGGGGGAAAATGTTATCATTCGCCGGCGCGGCAAATTGGAGGCCTTACAAAAATGAAACCGCTGCGGTCGGTGCGGCTTATTCGCCCGTGCGGCTTACACGCCGACTTCAAATCTTAATTTGCAGATTTTTGCGTGCTGCGGCTTATACTCCAGGCGGCTTATATTCCGAAAATTACGGTAACCATATTTATTCTAAATATGCTTCATTCTAAGACAGAGGTATAACAAAACAATTGTTGACTGCTGTGATGTGGGATATGTCAGTTTTAACCCCCTCGGGGCGCATAGCACCCTCGGCTTTCGGCCTCAGGTGCTATGCGCCCCTCGGGTGTTCAAGACGTCATATCCCACATCACAGCAGTCAACAATTGTTAAATGAATTCGTCTGATTTAAAACCTGAAGAATCTTGGATCAGATAATGATCTGATCTGAGACTTACAGGTCATAGAACGATGTGACTCCCGGCACTGGGGCGTCAAAGTCCAGCAGCTTCAGGTAGTCTGGTTGAGTGTAGATTCTCAGTAGAGGGGTGAGGTAATGGCGGACTGAGTCTTCTAAGAACAAGTCACTCCCTGCAATCAGAAAGGATTTACCTTACAAGCTCAGTGAGAATGACCCAGAGAGAGGTCCATACAGCCAAGCATGATGCCACATGTCACGCTTTGTCTGCTGTGATGTGGTCCATGGCAATTTGGAAACCCAAGTTGGGTACATGGTATCACCATGTGATTGTGTCAAAATGCCGACAGTTTTGCATCTCCCTCACTTCTACGAATTCTGGGCTTTGAATTTATGGTTGAATGTGCGGCTGGATCGTGGGCTGCAAATACACACATACGGTTAAGTTATACAATGTTATAAAAGGTATACATTCGGGTAGTTACGGCACTGGCTTAACCGGTTCCAAGGCAGATAACACTCAGTCTCCAAACGTGCAGGTACCAGCTAAACGGCACGCACACATGGACAAGATGAAACCCCAACAGTACATGCAAGTATTACTTGTGTACACGATACAGTCTAGTACCAAAATTTGTGTGCGTACCCGAAATGTACTGATTAACATGTACAGTTACAGTTGTTTTCCTAGTTCCAGATTTTTCCTTGTTCTAGATAGCTTCAAATAAAAACCTACCTCTTTCGGATAATTCTCAAATAAATTTTTTTTCGGACGATGTGCATTTTGAAAAGGAAAATGTAAGCTCCTTGATACACGAAGATTTTTCCGATAAAATCTTTAGAAGAGGAATTTTGGGCAGATTTCCGACTCGCACTTCGACATGTTTGGACGGTTTGTAGAAAATTGCGGGAGCTGCGAATCGACGATAAATTTTCTCCTCGGTATATCACTTGTACCGTGTGATTTCGAATATTTAGTTCATACACTACAGTTGTATAAACTCTTCCATCGAATGCTTGTTGAATCAAAATAAGTTGTAAAGTCTTTAATTTTTGAAAATTCGCCAACGAATGACCGTATGCTTTTGCCTAGTTCCAGATAGTGCGTGCACTTATGACCCAACTACACGATTGTGTGTGATGTATTCTGTGCTGGGTCAAAGATTTTCGGTCCGTGCGTGAGTTCGAGCCGTTGCGCTGCAGACAAAAATTTCTAAATCATTTACGTTTTTTTCTCTTTTTAAAATTTGCTGGAATTCTCTTGAATGAATTTTTTTGGAAAATGAAATAATGCTTTATCAGAAAATATGCTTGATTAGGTTGGTTCTGGCTGGAAAAAAGAGTGACATCGGTACTTTTGACGTCGTAAAATCAAAACAAAAAGAGCTTAAATTTTGAAAACTATTTTGGTCTCTCCATCACTCAAGGTAAACTTTTTAATCAATGTCACTTGAATTCGCGGAGTAGTTGAGCCGAAAGCAGCCTGAATGATGTTTGCTATCCGTAACTAGGAAAACGACTGTACAGTACATTGTACAATTGCACGGCCTGTTCATTTGGAGTCTGAAATATGACATTACTTTTACATGGCCGAAAAAAAAAACTGTACGTAGTGGGGGCAAAATAATCAGAAATCTGAATTAAAATGGGACAATTTCATGCCTGCATGCTCTATAATGGATGCCTCCTAAAACCAACCTGTGAGGAAGACACAAAATATGCGAGCAATCTTTGCCGCCTGCGGAACCATCTTGAGACTCTCGGGCCTCCACGTCTCCAACATGTAGATCCAACGTAACGTGTCCACCAACGCACTCAGGATGTGGGGAGGCAGGGCCTTGACTGACTTCCCATGCATCTCACTGGGTGAAAGGGAGGGTGCGGAACCAGTTAGTCATGGTTAAAGGTCAAAAATAGGAGACCAATTACCACATGTAGTGTGATTGTGAATTAAACTGGCTGATGATGTTGAGATGAAGACAGGGGTCCTCTGCCTGATTATTGGTTATAAGTGAAACATTGACTTTGTAGCCACATACAGGGTGAGTAAAGAAAAACACCAACACCCAAATGGCAGGACCAATTTATGAATGAAATTTTATCTGTAGCACTTTCAAAGTGTAAGATATGAAAGCCCAGTTACTTAGCTTTCTATTAGTACATGAATCATTCAAATCACTCCTGTACTTTTCAAGTTACGGAATTTTGAACACAAACACCGTTTCATAGTTCTGTCCACGGATCACAAAAAAGTTCGTGTTCTTTCAGCGAAATGAAAACAATTCTCATAGAGATGCATGTGAATTGTTTTCGTTTTGCAAAAGAACAGTTACTTTTTTTTGTGATCTATGGACAGAACTCTAAAACAGTGTTTGTGTTCAAAATTCCGTAACTTGAAAAGTATGTGAGTCATTTGAATGATTCTTGTACTAAAAGAAAGCTCATAAATTGGGCTTTCATATCCTAGATTATGCAAGTGCTACATGCAGAACTTCATTCAAAAATTGGTCCTGCCATTTGGGTTTCGGGTATTTCTTTTTTTACTCACCCTGTTTATCCAGGCATGCAACTTGGACTGAACGAAAAAACAAGGAAAGTCCAATCTTTACAAGACTTTGTACTTTTTTTTCCTTCAATTTTCAATGGCATAAGTGTCAAGTGAAAAACGAGGAAATTTAGCTGATCCGAGGAAAAGTTGCATGTCTGGTTTATCGCTCAAAGCAATGTAGGATCATTTGCAATTACATGGAAAAGTACCTTCCGATTTAATAACAAAAAGATTTGCTCAAAGTGAAAATTAGGACTGGCATCAAATGCCCTGTGAACTTATTCCACCTGAAATGGTGAAACATGTAGCCACCCTCTGCGGGGGCCTACTTGTTTACCGAGCTCATTGGGTCCACTATGAGTGTACGGTAACTCTGCCCAGACTATCCATGTACTCACGCCTTTTGTGCTTCTGTGTACAAGTGAAGGAGTGGCAGGAATATCCAGTCCACAGGCAGCAGGGCACCGGTGAAGGCTGGTAGCATGAATGAATCAATCCTGTGTGGTTGATGTAATGACCTGGATCTGGAAACCAACAGAAATACAGACGTCAAGGAAAAATTTAATTCGATGACTTTTATTGTGATTTTTATGGACCGGCTTGTGAACTGTAGAAGATGTTATGTGGCATATAAGTACAAGGAGCACTTGGTGGCTGAAATATGTGTCATTACCAAGATATACTGTAGCTATGCACACTCAAAAAATTCCATCACCAACATCAACTTCAAGTACAGTTTAACGAACAATATGCTGCCCTTCAAAATGTACAAAATTGAGACAAGTAAGATTTGAGGCTTTGTATGGTGGAGATACTAATGAATAAAAAAAGGTTTGCAGAAACACCATATGTGGGAATAATTTCACAAACTAAGAAATAGTGGAGCTGCTTAGGTCCATTTTTGGCCCAAATCGTGCACTTTGTGGTAAAAGCATGAAATTTGGCAGGTGGGGTCAAAATGGGCTAGAAATCATTTTAAGATCGGGACCCATCCTGGATCTTGCCCATTTTGGGGGCGGAGCTTGATTTTTTTTAACAGGGGGTGCAAACAATACAAACTCATAAAAACTGTATTTAAAATCCATTCTCCTTGTTTTTCTATTGTTTGAAATAAACTTAAACATAAAATATAACATTCTAGCATTCTAACACCAGTTAATTTCCACCCATTTTGTGGGCGTGGCCTAAATGTACAAAAGAGGCGGTATATATTAGCAGTTTGGTTCTAATATGGAAAACATTATTCGGTTTGGTAGTAAAATCCTGAAAATTGGCAGGTCCAGTTAAAATGGGCTGAAAATAATGTTAAGCGGTGAACACATCTTGGATCTGGAGCTTGATTTTTCAAAAAGGGGAGTGCAAAAAATTAAAAAATCATGAGAAATAACTTTATGAGAAATAACACGTTAAAATTGTGCAGCAGCAGGATTCCAGTTGAACCAGTGAGTTTGGTGGTTTGAGACATCATCTTACATTGAAAGACATCATCTTACATTGCCGACGCGCATGGCTATGGCGACGCACGCGCATACCAGAAACCAGAGCCTTTTTTTGGCCTAATAATCGTTTACTTCGTTTCGTATGAATAAAAAGGAGTAAATGCTTTAGATTTCAAATATGCACTTGTCATTTACAAGGCTGGGTTGGGGAAACCTTGAAATTATAAAGCAAAATAATTCTGCGCAAAAACATTTATTAAAGTTCTAAAGTACAAAAAATGATACCATATGTTTGTATGAATAAAGCATGGCATTTGCTTTTTCTACCACTTTCGAAGCATTTACTCGCATCTGTATGAATTAAAATTAAGCAAACACTTTTACTAAATACCATTTGCTCTTGAGTAAATGGCCTGCAAAATGTAAAGCTTTACACGTTTATAAGTTTGCAGAAAATAAAACTATCGTAACCGAAACGGAAAGCGGCACTGGGGAGGGTCACGTGCTGGAGGACAGATACAAAAAAAGCGCACCACACGTGACGAACGCAATGCCGTTTACGTGCACAATGCGCTGTGCATCGGCACCCATGGTCTACATGTGGGTTGGGTTTTTAGTCCCTACCTGATTCCGTGGGTTTTCCCCAGACTATTCTTCTGGGGTTTTCCTCCCACCTCTAAAACTGTAATTTCTTCTGTTTTTTGGGTTTTTTTCGGGTTTTCTTTGGGGGGTTTGCGAGCTACATTGGGTCGTATGAATAAAAACTAGCAAATGCTATGGAGTTCAAGCACACAGCAAAAGCATTTACTGAGAAGTAAAAGCATTAGGAATAAACAATTGCTTGAATTTGTATGAATAAAAGGTTTCTTTTACTGTTCAGCATCTGCTTGTACAAATAGTAGCAAATGCTTAATGCTTGTGGCTGACTGCACAGCCGAACGGTTTGCACAATAGGGCTTCCATTGTCTACACGTACAGACACACACAGTGCAGCTGATGCGCTGTATTTTGAGACTTCAGCATGGCGGATGGCAGTGATTCTGATCTCGAAAAACATGATGAAGAAAATCGCTCTGCCAGTACAGAATGCAAGCACAGTATATTTGTTAAACTTGTAAAAAAGCACCAGGCATTGCTGACCAAATCACAGTTGCCCAAAATAAAAGCTGAAAAGGAATGTGCTGTTAAGCAGATGGCGGTTGAGTATCAGCGCAAGACTGGCACCTCCTTAACAGATAAGCAACTGATGGAAAAGCTCAACAACATGAAAAATGATTTGAAAGTGAAATCAGATCTTTCCAAAACAGGGAACAAACCAATCAAGCTAAAAGAGTGGGAAAAACTGCTTCTGGAAATGATGCAAACACAGAACTCCTCAGTTATCAGTGGAGTACAAGGTAAGCCAAATTATGATGTATTTGTATACACCCTGTCGATTTTGCGTGCTTGACTTGTAGAAGTAATTCTGAATTTTTCACCGGACTTAAACAGATTTAGTTCTTATTTTTATCAGGTGCTGTAAGTGTTGGCGTGCGCAGAGCTGCTCCAACAGATTTGCCTGTCGTATCCACATCCCAGATGGAGCCGCCCAAAACGTCCCAGCCTCATCATGGCCGTAAGACCTTGACGGAGAGCAACACTAGTCAGGAGATTCCTGCACGACCAATTAAGAGGACAAAAACAACCAGTCTTCCAGAAACAGAAGAAGCAGGGGGGCTGTCAATTGCGGAGCTGCAGAGATTAGTCCTTCTAGAGCAATTAAAGTTAATACGGATGCAACAAAAGCAGATTAGTGACTCGGAATCAGACAGCAACGATTGAACTTGTTTCTTTTATTGTCTCTCAATTGTTTTAACTTTCGGAGAGAAATTCCTGCCAATTATTTATTTTGTGTAAAGAAAAGTCAAACGAGGTGTACATTTCGATTATTTATGTCCTAAAAAAAGACAAAATAGCATTCAAAATTATTACTTTTTTAGTTCTGAATTTCTGGAAACATTTCTTTCTCTGAGGATATACGGTACATCAAATAAGGAGAAACTTATCCGATAGAGGTCAGTAAATATTATACTAAATTATCCTTTTTGTATGATTAATTCTTACAATTTTTTAATCTAATGCAGATATAGGCTTTCTTGACTTCAGCTTTATTTTATGAACCAGAAAAGACGTGTTCAGTCGTTAAATATACGGTGCCTTAAACCATCCATTTGTAATTACCTTCATTTCAAGTTTCAAAAGGACAAAGTCAGCTTTATTGTTGCAAAAACTTCTCCAGAACAAACTCATAACAACTTGGATATAGAACAGGGAAATACACATGTAGTTAACTTCTATGATTATGGCAATAAACCAGACAAAAATAAATAATCTCTTGTCAATTGTGCTATTCTGCGTTTTGGTACAGCATGTCTGTGATGGCCCTCCTCTTCTGTTGTCCTCGTCTTCTGGCGAGATTATCCTCTCCTGGATCATTTACCCCAACCAAATCTTCTTCTGCATCCTCCATCACTTGGTCTGGGAAGACTTCTACGTCATTTAGATACTTAGCAACATTGTGGAGCATGAAGCACGCGACAATTGTAGCTGGAACTTTCTCTTGAGAAAGTCTCACCTTGTACTGTAGTATAGGAAATCTTTGTTTCAGCTGTCCAAAACATCTCTCAATGATTGTGCGTTCTCTCGCATGAACTCTGTTGTAATGTTCTTCTTGGGGATTTGATGCAGGGGTGTAAGGTGTCATCAGCCAAGGAGTAATGCCATAGCTTTTATCAGCTAGGAGGACTGCCTCGCTTCCTGACTGCTTCATAAAAGTAGCCACAGACGAATTTCTCAATATCCGACTATCATGAACAGAGCCAGGCCAGGTTGCATCGACGCTTGTGAACATCTCATTTCCATTACATGTTGCTTGCACATTTATAGTTGCATGTCCCTTCCTGTTGATGTACTCGTCCCCCTGTGGTCCAGATGGTTTGTTTATTTTGACATGAGTACAGTCCATTGCTCCAATTGCAAATGGTATCCGAATTGGCCTTTGTGCTTGCCACATCTCCTGAGCAGATTGTATTTCAGCTGCAGTTTGAGGGAACTTGATCCACAGCTCCGCCTTGGTCATCATTTGATCCAGAACATGCTTGATTGTGATGGATACGGTACTCTGGTGAATGCCAAGGTCTTCTCCAATGCCAACCTGAAACCCTGGATCTCCAACATATCTCAGAAAAACCTCCAGTTGTTGCTTTGCAGTCAGTGCTCCTCCTCTACTCTCTCCGGAGTGTTCCAAGAAATGATCAGCCATCCACTCCTCGTTTTCTCTCTCAAATCGGTACAACTGCCTGTATCTGGTATCTGGACACTCCCTCCTGGGGGCATACACCTTTTCCTTCCGAATGACTTTCATGAACGCTGCCATTTTGAACATTAGTAATTGCTCCTCCTTTTCAAGCTTGCCCTGACCCAGTCTTGAAAAATGTCAAGTTTATGCTTATCAATGCTTATCATCAAGCACAAGCTTAAAGAGTAAAAAGTAAATTCTTTTACTTTTTAGCAATTGCACTAAAGTAAAAGCATTTGCTTTGTTATTATTCATATAAACACTAGTAAATACTTAAAAAATGGTAGTAAAAGCAAATGCTACTTTTTATTCATACGACCCAGTGCCTGGGGAATGCACTTTTGAGGATCCTTGGTTTCATTACCAGAAAAAAAAAATTTATCGTTTACTTCGTTTCGTATGAATATAAAGGAGTAAATGCTTCAGATTTCAAATATGCACTTGTCATTTACAAGGCTGGGTTGGGGCAACCTTGAAATTATAAAGTAAAATAATTCTGCGCAAAAATTACTGCATTTATTAAAGTTCATAAAGTACAAATGATACCATGTTTGTATGAATAAAACATGGAATTTGCTTTTACTTCCAATTTTGAAGCATTTACTCGCATCTGTATGAATGAAAATTAAGCAAACACTTTTACTAAAAACCGTTTGCTAAATTCTGAAAATAATTACTTTTTACCTTCAAGCTTTTGCTACACTATAAGCGTTTACTTTGTTTCTTATGAATAATAAGGAGTAAATGC